TTCCTTTCTCTACTTGTTGATTAATTTTCCTTGCAAAAATGTATTTCCATATACTTAGCCCAAAGAGAGATGTCAGCATTTAGACATACTAATCAGAAAAAGGCTTTGTGTTCTATTAAAGGTTAATTAAGAACCATCGAATTTTTCCCCTTAAAACAGAAAAGTAAAATAATGTAATTAGCTATTTTTTCCTTTCTGCCCCCAGAGGGCAGATGTAAATGTTTCACCTAAAGGAAGCTATTTTTTTTTAATCCATTTGGATTTCTTTTGAAGTTTCATACATCTTTCTTCTGAGATATCAGCTTATAGCTGCAATAATTTAATAAGTTTTTCCTAGGGTGAAATTGGATGCCCTTTATCGATCTTACACTGAGGGGGCATTCAATTACTTAATCCAGAGTGATATTTTTGGGTCTCTCAATTACAATTTTGTTATAAATGGCTTGCTAATGATGCTAGGGGCACTAGGTTAATAGGGGGCATCCAAGCAAAGGCTGGGTAATTGAATGCTTTCTATTTGGGGACCAGTTATCTGATCTCTTATGGTGGCACTGGGTTCCCACACTTAGGTCTGCATCCATGGGCACCGAATGGAGCCAGCCTGGGCTGGGAAGCAATCTCACTGAAATGTATACCTGAGGACTCCAGTTTAATACATGAATGGCAGTGCCAAGTGTCCTGCTTAATCAGAGTCAACTGGCACCAAATGTGGGCATTCCAGACAGGTGGAGTGCCGGGGTGTGCATTTCTTATTTCTGAGGGAAGAACCATGGGTGTTAGTTTTCTCAGGGACTGTTCTTGGGATAGCCTGTGGAATAAGGAAAAGACCCATTAAGGAACATGATAGCGATCCATTTTCCCTCCCAGTATAGTCACATTAGTTTTTGTTTTCTTCCCTAAAATGTGTTATTTAATATATCTTATGAAGATCTTTTGGAAAGAGTACATAGCCAGCCTTCATTTCTACGCTTGAGCAAACCTTACCCCTACTTTGGCCTTTGGTGTCCTACAGTGTATGGTTCCTGCTCACTGCTCACCTCCCAGCCCCAGACCCCAAGGCTCTGTCCCAGGAGTTCTGTTACCCAGGCTTTGGCTCTCCAGGGCCGGGTTTCCAAGCCAGTGGGAGAAGCTTTCCTCCTGTCAATCAGCCATCACCTCAAATGGCTCCTTGGGTGATTAGTTCCTCCTCCTCATCCTCTGTGTGGCTTTCCTCCCTCTAAGACAGTTCTCAACTGGAGGTGATTGTACTTTGTTCTCCCCTCCCTGCTGAGGGAACCTTGGCCAGGTCTAGAGACAATTCTGGTTGTTGCATCTTAGGAGAGAGTTCTACTGGTATCTGGCAAGTAGAGGCCATCCTGTAATGCCAGGAGCAGCCCCATGGCAAGGAATTACCCAGCCCCAACATGGCATTGTGGTGGTGAAACTCTCTTCCTTGCTTTGGTTGTTCTTGTCTTCCTACTTCCTTCAGCACCTAAATCAGCCCCTGGACTTATCTGATTCATTGATTCATTGTAACTTCTTTATATCTTGTCCTACAGCCCCCCCCCACCCTAGTGTGATATAACGACACCTCTTTCTTGGTCACCTTTACATGACTCCCGTCTCCCCAGAGCTCCAGGAGAGCTTCACCTATGAAGATGCTGGGCAATGTAATCTCTCAAGATTGGTGATGATATTTTACATGCTAGCCAGTAGCTGCATATTTTGGTAAAACTGGAAAATATAAGATAGTTTTGTATTTGTGTAAAAGAGGAGTCCTTTCCCCTCCCAGTGTGTTTCCTGTACTAACAAATTTTCAACTCTTCCACTCTAACCTGGGGTTTTGCTATCCGACTATGATACCCTCTGGAGTTTCAGGACTGTCTTCAGGGTCTGCCCCACCTTAGACACCACTCACAGTATTGGTTTCCCAGGCCACCCACACTCCTGTGGGAATTGGCCACAAATGTGTGTGTTCCCATAGCATCTTGTGCAGTTTTGGTAACTCACTGAAAACCTTATTGTGTTCAGGGAAGTGTTCAGGATCAGCAGTTTGTTATAGAGGGTGAAGGTCAGGACCAGTCAGCAGGGACAGAAAGAGATGGAGCGTCCCTATCTTTGTCCTATATGCCTGTATCTACATGTGTTATCTGATCCTAGAGCCCTCAGATCCTTGAGTTAGGTATTTTTATAGGCCATTATGTAGGCATATTGATTACCTTGGTGATCACTGGTGATTAATGTTGTCTCCAGCTCTACTCTTTTACCTGTAGGTTGAGATTTCCAAGCTTCTGTCCAAGGTTTGGCCTTTCTGGGAGGCAGTTCCCATCCTGAAGCCACTTAGTAGCCTCATTAGAGGTCACTCATTAGCATAAACTTGGGCGTGGCCAAAAGGGCTTATATGAATCATGAAAGATGCTTCTATGGACCCTAGCAGTCAGGAAACTCCAAAGATACAATCTGTGTGCCAGGAGCTGAGGATGAGTGAGTGAGTGAATGAATGCATGAATGAATGACAAATGATAAGAAAATACCATCTCTGATGTTTGCCAAGGCTCAGGAGCATCTGCTTTTTCTCTTAGTTCTGTATGTGTGCGAATGGGTCCTGCAGCTTCTGCTGCGGATGGAGGGACAGTTGAGCAGGGGAAGAACACTTGGCCTGGCACTGTGATGCCCACTGTGGAGACTGTCAGCTCTCCTTCCCTGGGTTTTTTTTTTTGCTTTCTTAAAATAACTTTGGCTTTGGTTAGGAATGTTTTGTCCATTCTGTTGGGTTCAGATTATGTACATTCTTGTCTTGTGGCTTCAGAGTCTGTGTTTGTTTATCCTTTTCTTTTTCTTTTTTTTAAAAGAATCTAATTAGACCTTTAGCAGCTGAAAGACAGAAGGGTGCGAACTGCCTCCTGCTGAACTCCTGGTTGGAGTCTCATTTTTAACCCCAGCTTCGCCTTGTCTTGGACATGTGAAAAAATGTTTTCTTGGCTCCAGTGGTAGAGTTTCCAAGTAGGGGCTCTTGCCCTTTTGTTTCTTTGGGTTGGCGGAATTGTTTGTACCAAGTGATGGGTCAGGGGTGATTGAGCAAGTTGGAAGCAGAGAGTGGAGCCTGGAGGATCCTGACATGCCCCTCCAGCTGTCCTAAGGGATAGAGAGGGGGCCAGAGAGGGTAGCTCCTCCCACACGTCCCTCCTCTCTAGTCTTCCAGCTGCCTGGGCCCTGCGTGACTCCAAGCTCAGCATCTACTGACCTGCCCTCCTCCATCCAGGACATGAGACCTTAGAATTTCTTGGCCGACTGTGTTTTGCCAGTTTTGCTTCTTATATTCCTGTGGATTCACAGGGCTCATTACCATATTAAAAACCCTGAAAGTCCTGCCATAAATAATCTTGTAGATTTTTCTCCATCCCCTCCTCCTACTTTTCTCCAAATCCTTCAAACACAAATACAGACAGCATGCAGAACATTTTGTGGGTGGAAGATGTTTTGGGAAAAACACTGCTTGGCATAGTTCAAGAAAACATGGGCTTTTCGGTCCAAGGGAAGTGAACGTTTCTTCTCTTGGGTGCTGATTGCTTGTCCTCCAGCCAGTAGGTGGAGGCTCTGATGAAGGGTTACTTAGTGCCACCTCTCTGAGTACAGTAAGGAGTGTGGAGAGGTGGATAGAGTTGGAAGTCAGTTTTACCCCTGTGGGTATCAACCAATAATCAAAAATAATGTGGGTTGGGATTTCCCCATCTGGGATTGCCTTTCAGATGTTCTTGGAATTAACTGACAATTAAGATCCTAATAGTTATAGTCATGGATGATGCTATTATTATCAATGTTACATACCTTGATAGGGTGTTAGATATTTCTCAGGTATTATGCACACTCTTTACACATGTTAAGTCATTTAGCATTTGTTACAAACCTACAAGGGTGATAACTGTTTTCATTCTAATTTTACAAGGCTCAGAGAGGCTGAATAGCTTGCTCAAAGTCACATAGATGGTAGGTTCAGGTCTACCACAGCTAGAAACTAAGTAGGTCTCCTCTCAATTTTGCTCATCCACTGCTCCATTTATTACATCTCTAAGAAAGTGTGGTATGAACAACCACAGGATCACATTAATGGGATTTTTAAAGAATCATGTCTTCCCCTGATGATGAAAATGAAAAATTACTTCAAGGTCTGAAATTTTATGTTGCTCCGAGGAATACTGTACATTGGATTTAATTGCTTAATAACTTAAAGTCAAATGATTTTTTTTATGATACACTCTACTGAAGAAGAGAACCATTTCATTGTTTCTAGAGTTTCATTAACTTTTGCTTCCTAAACCCATAGTAAAGATTAGCTGTAGCTGAAATACTACTGATCCTATGGGGTGGGAAGGGGCAGGGGGAAGGAGGGATGGTAGGCAACTCTATTTTAACCCTGTTTGTCTTTGCTCATTTCCACTTAAAACTCCTTAAAATTTTTCATTGATGAAAAGCACTGATATTTCACTTCATCTTTGAAACTCATGATCATTATGCACATATCTGAGAATGGCCACAAACTCTTGCATCAGGGGTGCTGTAGCTTAGATGTATATAGGCAGAGGTATTGGAGGGACAGTGGGATGGTGTATGCTATGGGGATGGTGGTGCTGGTGTTAAGGACCATATTTGGTGGCAGAGAATGAGTTCCAAAGCCAAACACAGAACCTTCAAAGTTTGGTGGTCACGCCTGTAAGCCCAGCTACTCTAGAGGTAGAGGCAGGAAGACTGAGAGTTCAAGGTTGGCCTAGACAAAGGATCAAGGCCCAGTGTTAAAAACAAAAACTAAAGGACTGAGGTGGTAGCTCAAGAGGTTCAGCATTTTCCTAGCATGCTCAGCACCCTTGGTTCAATCTCTAGTACCACAAAAAGACAACTGCAAAGCTCCCTGTAGAAGAGAGAAGTGCAACCTTGTAATCCCTTCCTGGGAGATGATCCCTATATATCACTGTTACCACATAAAAATATAATACTGTAATAACACTTACTTTCTTTCTATTTAGGTAATCTGGAAGTTTTTGGAGTTTGCTCCGGAGGAACACATGATGTAAGAGTGAAGACCCTCTGTGGTGACGTGCCGATCCGTCCATCCACCAGATAACCATGACCTCTCTTAATCTCTCATGTGTCTCCATGGTTTCCAGTGATACTGCTCCCACCTTTTTGGGTACCATGGGTAACACCTGAACTAGGCAGACTTGTACTCGAACTTGTGACCACTTCTGTGTCGCAGTGGCTTGCACAGAACATAGACAGTTGGAGAGTGCTTCCTTTTATCATCTTGAAGAACTGAACCAAAGAATTTGCTTTCCTGTTCCCTAGTGTGTTGGTGTCTGCTCATTTTCACATTAGCCTAGCCTCTGATGCTTGGGCCTTTCTGACCATCTTATGGAATCTTGGGACATCTAACTTACAGTTTTCCAGCACAGCTCACATGCATAGACATTCCTTGGGGGTTTGCCCTAGGCTTGCTAAGCCAGCCGCCCACGGGCACTATCATGAGGCACTGCATTAATCCCTGCATACAGTTGTTACCTGACGGCACACATAAACAGCAAGTCGGCTGCCAAGAAGGCCCTCATCACAGTCACCAGGTGTGCCCCACGTGCAAAGGAGAGAACAAAATTCTGTTTCGTGTAGACAGTAAGCAGATGAACTTGCTTGCTGTTCTCGAAGTGAGGACTGAGGGGAACGAGAACTGGGGTGGGTTTTTGCGTTTTAAGAAGGGGAAGCGATGTAGCCTGGTATTTGGACTGATAATAATGACCTTAGTCATGGCTTCTTACATCCTCTCTGGGGCCCACCAGGAGCTTTTGATCTCATCCCCTTTCCATTATGGGAGCTTTCCCAGTAACCCCAGCTTGATGGACAATGAAAACCCCAGTGACATGAAAGAATATCATCACCAACCCTTTGTAAATAACATTTCTTATGTGAAGGACTATCCAAGCATTAAATTAATTATCAATAGTATCACTGCCAGGATTGAGTTCACCACCAGACAGCTCCCAGACTTACAAGATCTCAAGAGGCAGGAGTTGCATGTGAGTAGCCTTGTGTTCATCTTGATAATGAAAAAAAAATGAAAATGAAAAAAAAATGAGGCCTTTCTTTCCTGTCGCCATCTTTGGGAACACAAGAGGAAAATGATAGAAATTTTTCTCAGATGTAGCCAGGATAATTTTTTTTTTCATGATGATACTAGAGTTGAAACTGGGCCTTGAGCTTACTAAGCAAGCACTCTACCACTCGAGCCTTATCTCCAATTCTTTTTGCTTACTTTTTGGATCAGATCATGTGGTTTTGCCTGGGCCAGCCTGGAAAGTGATCTTTCTACTTAAGCTTTCATGCATCTGGGACCATATACATGAACCACTAACTGTATTGGTTGGGATTGGGTCTAGGTTGGTTTGTTTGTTTTTTTCCCCCTTGGAACTGAGATCCTCCCAATCTCTTTCTCTAGAGTAGCTGGATTATAGATATGAGCCATTGTGCCTCGGCTAGCAGGGATAATTTGACAGCTTCACAGAACAGCAGTAGCTTTGTCTGTTTATGCTGTGGAACACTAAGAAATTCTAAATGGCCCCACTACAAATATTTATTTTAAGGACTACCCCCTTCTCCTGACTGCACTCTTGCCTGGAATGGAGGCACCATGGTTGTAGAGCATCATCACTTAGAATTCTAGATTTGGGGATTTAATTTTTAATAATTTTAAATAAATTTTTAATTTCAATAATTTTAATTTTTTTTTTCCTGTTCGGTCTTAATCATTGTTTTTTGTCCTGAATGGCTACGGAAATGTACAAGTGGTGAGAAGATTTCAGCTAGATTGTGTGAGAGAGGGAGGGAGGGAGGGAGGGAGGGACCACAGTCAGCTGGATATTGATGGAAGTTTCATTTTCTCACGCAATTTTTATTTTGGGAAAGGGAAAACCCACGTCGATGGCCCATCTTAGCTCAGTTGCCTCTTCCGATCCGGTCCCCTGTGGTCCTCCTGGGAGCACCATGGGGCGTGTGGCGATGACTCGCGTGGCTAATGCTCTCTTCTTCCTGTGCGTCTCTCCCTTCTCTCTCCTCTCACGGCAGATGTTCTCAGTAATCCCCAACAAATTCCTCCCCAACAGCGAGAGCCCCTGTTGGTACGAGGAGTTCTCGGGGAGGAACACCACCGACCCCTACCTGAGCAACTCCTACGTGCTCTACTCGCGCCGCTTCCGCTCCACCTTCGACGCCCTGCGCAAGGCCTTCTGGGCGCACCTGTCGCACATGCGCGGCAAGCACTTCCGCCTGCGCTGCCTGCCGCGCTTCTACATCATCGGGCAGCCCAAGTGCGGGACCACCGACCTCTACGACCGCCTCCGCCTGCACCCGGAAGTGAAGTTCTCGGCCATCAAGGAGCCGCACTGGTGGACCCGGAAGCGATTCGGTGAGGGCTGGGTCGGGAGTGGGTGAGGACGCAGAGATCCACCAGCTGTGGCCACTGCTTAGTACACAGGTGTGTTAGACTTGTTCCGTGCAGCTGACACCAAAGACCAGACTCTGGGAAACTGAAAAGAGGGCTTATTTGGCTCTTGATTCTGAGGACTGAAGGGTCAGACAGCATGGGACTGGCAATCTGGCAAGAGTTCTCCCCCCACCCCACCCCTTTCCCAGGCTGCAAGAAAACATGGCAGAGAAAGAAGGAAGGAGAGCCAAGTGCACACAGAGGGCCTTGCTTTACACACTAGCAAAGGAACTGAGTGACTCCAAGAAATCAGCACTTAATCCATTCCCAGGAGGAGCCCAGTGACCCCATCCCCTGCCCCAAGGTCCTGCCTCTTACAGGTCCCTTAGCCCCGCCTCACCGGAGACCAAGCTTCCATCCTGTGAGCCTCTGGGGGACACACTCAAACCATTTCCAAACCGTAGCAACAGTTCATGGGCAGGGACTGCCAAGGGCCAGAACTCAGTTTTCAACCATCCAGTAAGCAATGATTGAGTGCCACCTGTGTGCAGGGCAAGGGGACTGGTACAGAATAGGCAGTTCTTCCTGTTTCTGTCTGTATATATGTGTATGGGGGCGATGCCAGAGATTGAATGACCCCAAGACCTTGCACGTGCTAGGCAAGTGCTCTTGGTGCATGACTCCAACAGTGAGCAATGCATGGCCGGACCAGGTTAGGTGAGAAGCAGCCCACCACGACATGGGGGCCTGGATCCAACTGTGTGCCACTTCATTGGAGCCCCCACACCTGGGAGAGAGACATCTGCTTTCAGCCTTGGCTTGTGTGTCTTGTCCTGTCTGCCTCATGTGTTGTGGTATGAAACATAAAGGCAATATCTCCGGAGAATCTTCTCTCCATAAAATCTTCTCTACACCCTGCTTTGCTATGAGTTGACCATAGATACTGTCCATCCCTTCCTGTAGGCTGGTTTCTGTTCTAGCCCAGCCCAGGCACCCTGGGGCCCTCTGGTCACTATTTCCTCTTCATAACCTTTTCCCTTCTGCCAGGAGACGTTTGGTCACAGGGTGATACATGGCTTATTTTCTGCCAAAGTCTGGGCAGGACATCAGGATGTTTTCCACATAAAGGGCCCCAGGTTGCTAGACGAAACTCAAGTGTTTCTTAGATCTCTTTTTAGGGCTTCCTGACAAACTGATTTTGGATTTCATCATTGTGTTGTTCATCCTGGACTGAACAAAAAAAGTGTGTGTGTGTGTGTGTGTGTGTGTTAGCAGTGACTGTTCTGGTGGCCAAGGCTTCTGGTTTGTATATTAGCCCAAGTATGTGAACACACTTGGTCACTACAGAGTGCTAACTTCCCTCCATGGCCTCTTGTTTCCCTTAATGAAAACCAGGTGGCCAATGTTAGGAAAGAACAGGGGCAAGCCTTAGAAGCTGGTATTGCCTAGACCACAGATAATCTCTTTCTGTTATGCTGTCATTTAGTTGCTGAGGTATTGGGCACGCGTGCGTGCGTGTGTGTTTTTATGCTTACTAAAATGTGGTGCCGTTGGCTCTTGCTTGTAATCCTAGCTGCTTGGGAGACTGAGATCTGAGGATCATGGTTTAAAGCCAGCCTGGTCAGGAAGGGCCATGAGACTCTTATTTCCAGTTAACTACCCAAAATCCAGAAGTGGAGCTATGGCTCAAGTGATAGAGTACCATCCTTAAGTGAAAAAGCAACGACTGTGCCTGTCCTGAGCTTAAGCCCTAGTACCAACACACACACACACACACACACACACACACACACACACACACACACACACTTTTGCAAGTGGAACTTGCCCTTTTTTTACTTTAATTTTTAAAAATTCTTATCATAAAGGTGATGTACAGAGGGGTCACCTTTTCATTAGCGAGCTATATTGAGTGCATTTCTTTCTTGGACAGAGTCACCTGCTCCCTTTGCTCTTTCCCAGTTTTTCCCTCCTGTCCCCACCCACAAGTTGTATAACATTTTCAACGTAGTATCCAATGAATACCACTGCTGCATTTGTTCACCCTTTGCCTCTCCATTTCTGTGAGCACTTGCCCAATTTTAAGACAAAGGTCAAATTTCAGCCATGTGTGGCTGATGCCAGAATATATCCATCCAAGAGATGACCAGTTCCCCTTACCCTGTGAACAAGCAGCAGGCAGATGCTGCCAGGCTTGTGTAAAAAGAGGCACCATGGAGGTGACAGGATGTGGTCCTCCTTGCTGGCTGACTTTCTCCAAACTCTTCCTGGTTGGCACACTGTGTGTATCCTGGGTGCCACTGCTGCCCACTCACTGGAGCCTCACATGGTGCTCTTGTTAACCAAGTCCCAAGGTCTGGCCCTCCTGGATGCTCTCAGCAGCCCCTGCCCATCCTGGTGGGAAGCATGCATACATGTTTGGAAAGGGGGTAGCAATTCCCAGAGGTCCCTGGGGTAACCTCTGCTGACACTTCACCTGGACCCTGCTGTAGGTGGGCCCCTTGGGCCCTCCCTTCCCTTTCCTGGTGATTGTCTAGGAGACCACCACCCCAGCAATAGCAACTTTGTCCTTAATAACCTGCTTCTTGGTTCTTGCAGGAATTGTCCGCCTGAGGGATGGGCTGCGGGACCGCTACCCTGTGGAAGATTACCTGGACCTCTTTGACTTGGCTGCACACCAGATCCATCAGGGACTGCAAGCCAGCTCTGCAAAAGAGCAGAGCAAGATGAATAAGATCATTATTGGTATGGCTGGTGGGCAGCCCCAGGGCTTGGGAGAGTACTTCTCTGGGCTGCTCTGCCTCATGTGCAGAGCGTTTGCAGATGGCTGTAGATGACCACGGAGCATTCCTTCCCTTCCTCGCCAGACTGTCACTTATACATCTGCATAAATGTTCTCCTCACTTCTACCAGTAATATAAAACAGAAACATTAAACAGCTTGTCCATTCTATGAAGACTTAGGATAGCTGAAATGACTTTTTGAAAAAGTATTAATTTCCTTTGTTTTTAACTTTTAAACAGGCATGTGGACTCTTTTTAGAGTCCACTGATCCAAGTTAGACTACTGATTAACCATTGATTTAATACTTGTGCTTTTGTAACCTGGGCTACTGCCATCCTATGAGGCATGAAGGCAGCATCTCCTGAACTGAACAGCCCTGGGCACCATCTGCACTCAGTCCCTGGGTAAAAGCAGCTGTCAGCCTAATGCCTATGGGAATTCAAAATGAGGTTGCTTGATTAATCACTCAAAAATCTGTAAGACGGTTTGGAACATATACCTTAACCCTTTAAAGAGTTCTTTTGGATTGTGCATATTTAGTTGTAACCATATGTTTGGAGTTGTATTTTTGATAGTTTTAGGGTTTGAACTTGACGTCACATTTGCTAGTTAGGTGCTTCATTGCTGAGCTACTTCTCCAGCCCTTTTTTTGTGCCAGTACTGGGTTTGAATTCAGGGCCTTGCACTCTTGCTTGGCTTTTTTGCTCAAAGCTGGCAGTCTGCTGCTGGAGCTATACCTCTCCCTTCTGTGCTAGTTATTTTTGAGATAGGGTCTTATTCCTGCCACGTGCATGCTTGGACAACAATCTCCTATTTTAGACTTTAGTTATAGATAGGAATGCAGGCGTGTATCCCCACACCCATTGAGACGTAGGATTCTTGCTGACTTTTCTGCCCAGGCTGGCCTGGAGTCTTCCCAGTCTCTCTCTCCCATGCAGTTTAGGATGACAGGCATGTGCCAACATGCTGCTATTGATTGGTTGAGAAAGGTGGGGTTGGGGGAGTGGAAGGAGAGGGTGGTTCTTGTGAACTCTTCTGCCTGGACTGGCCTCAAACTGAGATTCTCCCATTCTCAGCATCCCAGGTAACTAGAATTACAGAAGTGAGCCACCAGCTTCTGGTTTACATATAATGTGTATATATATAATATGCATATATATATCATTACATAATAGAGTCTATATATGTACATAACATATATGCAATATGTGTTTATATATAATGAAATGATTACTGCAACAAAAATTAGCACATTTATTTCTTCACATGGTTTCCTTTTTTTATGGTAAGAGCACCTGAGATCTACTCTCTTGGCACCTTACCACAGGCATGCATTATGATATTATTACCTGTAGTCAGCATATTGTACATTTAGATCTCTGGACTCAGTCATAACTCTTTTTACTGGAAATCAGCTCGAACAAGGTGAGTATTGCTGATACCTTCTGAAAGAGAGACTTTTCATCACATCTTTTGCTCAAGTTGGTTACTGGCAGTATTGATCTAGTTTTGAATTTTCCTGGGTGTATTATATTTTGATTCTGTAAACCCAGCAAATCTCTCCATGAGCAGGATGAGTTGCAATCAGCTGCTGTATAAGAATCTCTCCTTGTAACTGTCCCATCAAGGAGATATTAGTCTATGCCAAAGCCCAAATTGATTTTTTTTTTTAACTCAGACCACTGGGAGCCAGTGGGTGTCCCCAACCTGCAGTATGAATTGGCTGTTATTTTTTTCAAACTTGGAGGCCCAAATACCCCTGAATAATAAGTATAATTAATATTTTGCTGTGACTCCTATACCATGCGCCTCTGGGAAATCTCAGGTTCTGTGAAAGAGTGAAACTTATTCATCCTGTGTCCAGGAAACCGAGGCTTCGTTAATGAGAAAGGAAGCTTGATTAGTTCTCTAATTTTAGTTACTGTTAGGTTTTAAAAAGGCAGAAAGTCAAAATACCACACTGGTATTTACTCTAAAGCTGGAGTTGATATGCTTTATGGTGGTCTCATGAAATGATAGGCAGGGTGGACAGGCAGATGAAGAGCTGGCGTCTGGCCCTGCTACATAACAAGTCAAGCTTTGGGCTGAACTCAGTTTTTATGTCTGTTCAGGGAGATTGTTGGGCCAGGTCAGTTCTGGGCTTCTTTCCTCCCCACAATGTGACTCAGCTCAGCTTCACCCTTCTTTCCCTTTGGAGCTTTGGCAGAGCCAGAAAGCCTTCACCACCTTGGGACAAGATCAGAAGGAGCCTTTCCTTAGCAGTCTCTGGCAGTGAGAGGCACACAGGAGGCTGGAGATTTGGACATGTTGAAAGGCCCCTGCTTCTGTTGATACAGCACCCTGTCTGTCTAGTCTCTGCACTTCACGCGGTATCTTGTGCCTCTCTCCCTCCCTTCCTATGTCCCTCCCTTCCTCCCCTGTACTGGGGGAGGGGCATGCTCTCCTTTAGGGTCTTGCAGCTGCTAGGCAGGTGCTTTAACACTGAGCTATATACTCTCAACTCTTCTGATGGATTTTCATTTTTCCTTCCAGTACTGAGGATTGAAATCAGGGCTCATTCATGTTAAGAGCTTAAGTTCTATCACTTGAGTCCCATCCCAGTCCTTTTGATTTTAGTTTGTTTTTGAGATGGGTTATCACTAACTATGCTTGAACCATTCTTAGAAGACAATCCTCCTACCCCTATCTCCCAAGCAGCTATGATTACAAGTGTGGACTACCACACCTGGCTCTTGATGACTTCTTCAATTGTCTGTCCCTCCTTTTAGGGTTATAAAGTCCACGTGTTTTGTTTTCCTCATCTGGCCCCAGTGAGTGCTGAGCACAAAGAGGGGCACAGATTAGATACCAAATGAATGGTTTCTAGGCAGATAGAGGATGAATGGACAGACATCTGGGAAGAAGGACAAATGCCCCTGTGGTTCTAGAATCAGTTCCTTTCTGAGAGCTGAAAGAATTTATGCCAATTTCGTGTTAGGTATGCCTGTCTTTTATATTCTCTATTCATTGTGAGGAGAATTCTCAAAGGACTTCTGATTGAGTTGCCTTTTTGTATCCTAGAGAATTATGTCTTACAAAAAATAATAAAGGAAAGCAGGCCAGGACAGAAATGCTCAGCTGACATGATTACACATCCAACAGAAGAAATGAGGCCCTAATGCGCTTAGCACTGACCAAAGACACTGTCTTTTGATTCAGATTCTCCTTGAACGAAAGACTTTGAGATATGACCCATAGTTCTGTGCACCCTGTCTGGATATTGATTGTAGAACTCATTGACTGAGTTGCCTTCTCTTCTAAGTCTCTGAAGATATTCCTTAAAAAAATTATAGATAATGAGCTCGGTTACCTGAGAGAGGTTGTGTTATTTAGATCGCTGTGCATTGTCCTCATCGCTGTCCTTCTGAAAGTATACTTAACAGTGTCATCCTTCAGTTATATGGACCATGAGAAAACAGGGTTGAGACTTGTTTGTCCAGTGCACACGGAGTGCTAGAGGTGTGGATAGTAGACAGCTGGCCTTGCAGAAGACAGAGCCCGGGGCTGAGGCCCCCTGGGCTTTTGGCAAAGCCTTCCTCCCATTTGGTCCTAGAGTGTGTTCTGTCACTAACTTGTTATGGTTCTCAGGAAAGACGCACACAAATTGCATCCAACTTTCCAGTGAGGGTCAGCTTCCCCAAGCAGCCTTTCTCCCTGACACTTTCTGAAGAAAACCATCTAATACATTCTCAGTGGGCCCTTAAAATGCCTTAGAGCAATGAGCTGCCAGCGGAGCTAAGCATTATGTAGTGGAACTATTATGGACGCAATTAGAGATTATGTTTTTGTTCATCCTGGAGAGAGGAGCTCTGGGGGGACTGGGATACTCAGTGTTGTGCAGATTGCCTGGATTTCTAGACAGAGATGGGCAGGAGAAAAGAGGGCCTTAGGGGCCACGGGGTCCCTGTAGTGGAGGTAGGAGGATGCTGTAGTAGGAGTGGGACTTCTCCCCAGAGTCCTAACTGTCTGTGATGGCTGACCAACTTGCCTGTCACAGTTATTTAAGAGGAAGGCATGCGAGCCAGACTTGGCCTCCAGACCCAAGTGGGAGCCCTACCCCATACCCCAGCACCTGTTCATTTGCTGGATCTTCTGTTTTCAGGAGAGGCCAGTGCCTCCACCATGTGGGATAACAATGCCTGGACCTTCTTCTATGACAATAGCACAGATGGTGAGCCGCCATTCCTGACCCAGGACTTCATCCATGCCTTTCAGCCCGATGCCAAACTCATTGTCATGCTCAGGGACCCTGTGGAGAGGTGAGCCCTGGGGTGGGGGTGTGTGGTGTGTGGGTGCTTTGCATTTGGGTGGGGAAAAAAGGTGCTCTGGAGCACAATGTTTGCTTCTCACCACAAATAGGACTTTGCCACTTTAAGAAAAAACAAACCCAAAATAAACAAGCTAAACTTGCTACATTACGGCTATTTCTTATGTAAATGTTATTTTAATACAATGCTCCCAGCCTTTAAACAAATTGTAGACTGTTTTCTCAGCAATTCTGATGCTAGGCTGTGGGTCAAGGCCTCTGGGGGGGGGGTTGACCTGAGAATGTGGGGTGATCTTAGGATGTGGGGAAACATCCTAAGATCAAGGGTGTTGAGGTTCTTTGTGTGGTCTTACTGCAAGAATTCCATACCTGCCTCTTCTCCTCCCCTCCCCCAAGTTGGTTGATATTTTTTTCCTTGAACTGTGCTTTTTAATTTGTCTTGATTCCCAAAGGAAGAAACAGCGCTGCTTTGCTTAATCTGTGATTTCGAATAGACAATACTGGGGTGACCCGGCCAGCACTGGGGGGATACTTAAGTCATTGACCAGGTGTGTGTCAATCACAGGACTACCAGACCTTAATTTTTTTTAGTCCAGTGCTCCCTCTAATTGCTACCACATCAGAAGGGGGGAGGGGCTCTAGTCTGAAGTAAGAGAGCCTCATCCAAGATGGCAAGTGTAAGTTGGGACAACTCAGTTCTTCCTGCTTCGAGACCAAGTTGGTCTTTTTGGTGGCTTCACACATTGGTCCAATGGTCTTCTCTAGTTCTAGCTAGTTTTTCCAAACGGGGAGAACTTACCAAATATTTAAAAGACAGAGGAGGCCACAGCTCTTTGTGTCTTGCTTTCCTCTGGGCTAACCGGGTTTTGTTATGGGTTGAATTATACCTCCAAAAAAATCCATGCTGAAGTTCTAGGTCCCAGTATTTATGATTGTGTCTTTATTTGGAAATAGGGTCTTTGCAGATGCACTTAAGTTAAAATGAGGTCATGCTGGACCTGGGAGCCTGCTCTGTGAAGAGATGTGGGGTATATGGCCTCCAGCCAAAGAATTAGAATGGGTTCTCTCTTGGAGCTCCCAGAAGGAACCAGATGGATTCTAGATTTGCAGCTTCCTGATCAATAAAGGAATAAATTCCTATTGTTCTGTGCTACCTCAGTGTGGTGATTTGTCACAGCCTTGCTCCAATGGTAACAATAGGCATGTTACAAAATAGAAGTTGACTATAATACTAGCTACTCAAGAAACTGAGATTTGGAAGATTAGGGTTGGAGGCCAGGCTGGATAAAAAAGTTTGCTAGACTCCATCTCCAAAATAACCAGCCAAAAGCAGGACTGGTGGTGTGGATAGAGTGGTAGAGCATTTGCCTAGCAAGTGTGAGGCCTTGAGTTCAAACATTGGTATTGCCAAAATAAAAAAGTGAGAGGCAGAGAGGGGGAAGGGAAGAAGGGAGGGAGGAAAGAAAGGAGGGAGGGAAGAAAAGAGCAGAATGGTAGATAATACATTAGAAAACTGTATAGAAAACTTTTCACATACACCTATACTCTCTCACTCCGATGATTACAGTTTATACGTCCATGCATTTTCTTGTAGATTTCTTTTCTATGCAGATGAGTACAGTGCGGTGTGTACCGTCTAGCCTCTTCTTTCACCTGAGGACATGCTTGATGAACTGAGGTCTGCAAAGGCTCAGAGCAGGTGCAGCTCCTCCCAGAGTGACTGCCGTGGGAGCCACGCCTGTGCACCACAGCCCGCCTGGTGCAGGGCAGCTGCTGCACTCATTCCCTCTTCTCTGTGAGTCTCCCAGCCTCGGAGCCCACCTCAGCTTCAAGTTGCCAAATCCTACCTGCTGCTGGCCATGCAGGAGCTCAGCCCTTATGAAGTGGGCTGGGTTCCCTAGGCCAGAACAGCTGTGCTATCCTGAGGTGCTCTCCTGGAGAACCGACAACTGCAGAGTCTGTTGTGTGGCCTGCTGCCTGAAGGGGCAGGCTTGCCCAGGGAACTGACCCCGCACCACCCCGCACCACCCGGTGAGGTGTTTTCACAGCTGCTCTGCCTCCCTCCCCTGTACCCCCCCCCCTCCCGCTAGCCCAAGTTTGCAGGGTGGAACACTGTCTGTTCATGTGGCTTCCTGTCACTCCTCCTGTTTTCCCATCCTGAGGAAGGTCAGGCCGTGCCCAGCTTCAGGGCCTGGAGTGAAAACAGCAGGGTTTGGTAGCCCTTCGGGCAGAGGTGGGGACCAGGCTGTCTGCACTTGCTTCTGTTTATGCCAGCTCTGCTTTGGCCAGGGAGTGGGGGCTCCTGGGCTAGTCAGGGGGTCAGGCATGGCTTAGCAGACTTAGCAAGAACCAGAGGTGGGGAGAGGGAACGGGCTTTGAGTGGGAAGGGCCACTGCGCTGCAGGAGCAATGCCAGAGTGGGCTTTAAACGATGAGAAGTAGTTTATGTTTGCCACATAAACAAGGGAGTAATATGAATCAGTGGAAAGAAGCATCCTTTGCAGAGAGGGCAGCTCTCCAGAGAGGCAAAGATGATGTGTCCTCCGGAGAGTGAACCCAGCGTGCCTTCCCCCTGGAATTCTGGCTCTACCTCTAAGAGCACAAGCACCATGAAGGTGAGCCTTTGAGTAGGTGGGCAGCCATGCTGGCCAGGCTCAGCTGCTTGCCAGGAGCAGGACTTGCCCACTTTATCTTCAAGACCCAGGCACAAGTCCACCATCTTGGAAGGGTCCTCCTTGGGCAACAATGTTTTTGTTGTTGTTGTTTTGGTATCAGTACTGGGACTTGAACTCAGGGCCTCTCATTCTTGCTTGGCTTTTTCACTCAAGGCCATTGCTGTACCACTTGAGCCGCACCTCCTTGTCAGGCTTTTTGCTGGTTAATCGAAGATAAGAATCTCTCAGAATTGTCTGCCCAGGCTGGCTTGGAGATCCTCAGATCGCAGAGGATCCTGAGATCCTTAGATCTCAGCCTCCTGAGTAGCTAGAATTACACAAGCATGAGCCACCAGCACATGGCTATATCTCTATCTCCTTCCTTCATTCCTTTCCTTCTTTCCATTTGTTCTTTCTTTCATTCTTTCTTTCCTTTGTTCCTTCCTGCCTTTTTTCCTTTCTTCTTTCCTTCTTTTTTCTCTCCTTTTTCCCCTCCTTTCCCTCCTTCTTTCCTTTCACCTTCCCTCTATTTCTTCCTTCCTTTCTTTCTTTTCCTTCTCTCTCTAACAAATACTCTATGTTAGGAACCAAAGGTAAAGAAAGGCTTCTTGCCTCTCTGGCCACGACATATGTGTCAGAATGCTCAGGCACTCATGGGTAACCTGCTCTGTTAGCTATCTACTACTATTATTATTATTATTACTATTTTGTCAGTCAAGGCGCCTGAACTCTGGGCCTGGGTGCTGTCCCTCAGTTCTTCAGCTCAAGGCAAGTGCTCTACCACTTGAGCCACAGAGCCACTTCTGGCATTTTCTGCTAATGTGGTGCTGAGGAATCAAATCCAGGGCCTCATGCATGCAAGGCAAGCACTCTACCACTGAGCCAATTTCCCAGCTTGCCACCTTCCCGGCCCAATACCCAATTATTTTACAGTTTCTGAGAGTCAAGAGCTTAGACAACTCTTTACTGGTTCTCTGCTTCAGGGTCTTTTTCAAGGAGATAGTTGAGGTGCCCCCTTAACTGAGTAGTGAGGTGTTTTGCGTTTTAGATAAATTTAGCTCCTTAAGGGCTGTTGAACTGGGGCTTCTGTTCTTTGCTGGTTGTTAGATGAGACTGTGCTCACTCCCTTGTCATGAGGCCTTCCAACATGGCTATTGACTTCATCAAAGTAGCAAGGGGGAGTTAGTAGATCTGAAGTCATGATCCTTTGTTGCCTAATCACAGGGGTGACATTCCATCACACTTGCCATCTCCTGTTGGTTAGAAGCCAGCCACAGCCAATTCATGTGGAGGAGAGCACAGATGTGAAGACAAAGAGCAGCCAGCTCTCACCCCTGCACTCTGCATTGCCAACCCAATGCTCAGGAGCCGCACTTTTGTCCTGCAGCCCAGAGAAGCCGCCGGCTTCAGGCTGGCTCCTACTCCTGTGGGCGGGTGTCCTGTGCATGTTTTTCTCTGAGTTACTGACAGCAGCAGCTGTTTCATTGCTCTGGAAACATTTATAAAAATATGCAACCATAGGAATCTCTCCTTTGGAACCCCAGAGCCTCACGGCCTATCTGAAGTGGCTGGCTTCCCCGTCTTAGCCATAGAGATGATGATAAATACTGTGTGTTTAGGTCACTCTTGAGGAAACAAACCGTGAACCCCAGGCCCCATTAGTCTAACTGGCTTCTGGGCCTTTAGCCCACTTTAGTCATTTTATGACCTTGCACGTCTGCACGTGGGAGATGCCTTGGGCTGCTTGATGCCAGTTGGATGGGTCCAAATGATTATTTTTTTTTTTTTTTTTTTTTTTTGGAGTCCGGTCATGGGGCCTGAACTCTGGGCCTGGGTGCTGTCCCTCAGTTCTTCAGCTGAAGGCTAGCGCTCTACCACTTGAGCCACAGCGCCACTTCCGGCTTTTTTCTTTTTGCTTATGTGGTGCTGAGGAATCGAACCCAGGGCCTCTGGCATGCAAGACAAGCGCTCTACCACTGAGCCACCTTCCCAGCCCCCAAATGATTGTTTTCCTTCTGCACATCAGCTTGGCAGGGGAGAGTAACGGATTATTTCTAGCTTTATATTTACATATAGCTGTATTTCTATAATTAATCCAAGGTAGAGTGTGTGAAAAATGTTGGGGTCAGAAGTCAAGTCAAATTAAGTTTCCAGAGAAAGATGTAAATAGTCCTTTTTTTTTTTTTTTCTGGAAGAGAATAGAGGAATAATGGAAAGAAGTGGGTGGGATGGCTCAAATGACAGAGGCCAGCCAAGAATCTGTGTTCCAAGTTTCTCTTTGTAAGAGATTGCAATAATTTTGAACTAAAGTAATGCATTTCTCTGCTAAATCACCTACT